AAAACTGGAGCAAGAGTCTGTGCACTACTCAAATAATTGGTTGAAAACAATTATCACAGTAACTCTGTGAGAGCAGTCATTAGCACCTTAACTTTAAGGATAACTATACATAATCTTGTTATTGATCTCCCTTGAGTCAGTTATGCACATATCTACCTTTATAAAAACAAACAGAACACAGGACATCAACCCCTTGAGCCCCCCTCAAAGAAGAAAGCTTTTTGTCACTTAATTGTGTGTCTTAATACAATGGGTCCCTAGAATTTGCCAGTAACACAGGCACTGTCTATGGGGTTTTAGTTTTTTGAGTGTTTTAACATTTCCAGAATGCATTAATGAAGAACTTTTTAGAGCATGAAGCTTAAAGATTTGACAATTATTTCAGTAGTATTGTATCAATTAGAGCACATTTTTACACAGTAATTTATTTTTTTTTAGTTCTGAGCACTTTCAACGTTGAAAAAAAACCTCTAAAAAAAACCTCTTTTCAAATCACATGAACATTGACTTTATTTCTTACTCAGCTGCTAAAACAAATCACTAATACTGTAAGACATGACCTTATTTTTTTTCACAGATCATGCCCTATTCTTGAGCAAGAGAGTCAGGTTGCAAAAATGAACCCAGAGCTGAGTTTTAAGCACGACTCTCAGAGGATTTCTCATTGTAACAGCCCAATGCTGCCAGAGGCATGTATGGACGTGCCCTACGGTCTCTCTTTCTGGCTATCCTCTCAAGAAGGCAAAGCAGCAGAACGAATGGTAGTTCTGCTATTCTGTGTTTACTATACGTAAAAACATTCTTTTGCAGAGCATAAATTGAGGATTATAGTTTTAAACAACTGCTCCAGGGCTAGACTGAATACTTAACTCATCTGACAAAAACAAGAAAAGGAACTTGGGCTCTGTGCTGCTGAATTTGGACACTTTCTGCATATTGGATCCTGAAGCTCATATTAAGTTAAGCTTCTCAAACCTGTTGTTTTGGCCAGGTAACCTGCTATCACAACTGCCTTGGCAGCTTTCAGCAAACCGGGTCACAAGATTTAAAGGGCAAACATCACTCAGGAGAAAGATGCTAAGGGAGTTAAACATCCACTGCAGACAGAATAAAATCCGTGCTGTGTGCAATGTAGAACCTCACAGTGTACACATAAAGTTTCAGCAGAAATTACTTCTGTGCAAACATAATCTTTCATTAAATGAGCTAGTAGAAATCCAGTCAAGATTATAGCTAAGGGTAAAAAGAGAACTCCCCCAGTATCATCTTTTAAAATTTAAGCCACTAAAACTGTTGTTGGTACAGTTTTATGAGGATGTCATTTTAATCTTATTTTTCTAAAAAAAGACAAACTATACATGTAATTGGAAGAGCTGTTCTATTGCTAACCAGAGAAAACTTACAATAGCAGTCAGAACTTGACTCTCAAGAAATCCAGACTATACATACTCCTACTCTACATAAACACAGGAAAAAGCAAGTATTTCAGAACAAGGAATTGCTTCGTCTACAAATAGAGTTCTATGTTCTTTTATACATGCTGACCGAAAGAAGTTTAAACAAATGGCAGTCAAACACCCACCTGGAACAGCTCTTCATACCCAAGATATATCTCAGCATTTCCTAAATAATTACTGAGGTTTGGATAGAATGAATTTTAGAATATATTTACTTATTTTAACAACAAAAGATATCTGAGAAAAGTGAACTTTTTGTATCTGTCTGACATCAAGATTGCAATGCATTTGCCAGACATTCAAAACTGATGCTTTTCTCATTTTTTCATTCAAAAATGAGCTTTGCCAGTGGTACGGTTTCTGAAAGACCCACAGATTCTCTGCAAGCCCTACAGTGACAGTAAGTAAAATACACCACAATCAGATCCCCCTGGATAGGACAGGTATCCACCAAAAGGGTAATTATTGAGATGTGCTGTTGTATGATTTCATCTGAACGATGAGAGGGGCAACTAGATGGTAATCTATACATATTTAGGCATCAAAGAATACAGGAGCTTAACTACTCTTCCTCTGCTATCACCAGTGGCAGAATCTCACACTTTTCCAATCCTTTTGCATAGAAGAATTTAAAAGCTCTGCCCCCTCTCTGCTGCTGAATTAAGGCTTCACCAGACAGAAGCTAAGACTCCACACCTGAAAGTGGAAATAAAAGAAAACCCTTGCTTTCCATCCCTGCTCCCCTGATAAAAGACTCGTGAATGCAGAACCACAGACATTTAAAATGTCTTTCAGGATGCAGTAACTTGCCCTAGAAAGGCAAACATGAATTGAGGTAAAATTTTCAGGAATAGCCACTATTTCTAATAGCTATTAGTCTCCTGACCAAGCATAAATATTAGTTAGTTAAGTTACTCCATCAAAACACCACACTCTGGTTTACTGAGTGAAGCACAAGTTTGGAAGATGAACACTTTCTAATTAATTTTTCTCTTTTCTATGTGATATCCCATCACAAAAGGCTGAAGTACTATCAAATCTTGCTAGACAGTCCTGTTCTAGCCACTGTAGATCATTAACTTCCTTTTTACATGTTTTAACTACTACTACCAAGCTCCAACTTATCCTTTAAGGTGATCTCTTTTCTATTTGGGAAAAGTACTCAGAGATAAAACTTTCTAATCAACCAACTAAAAATCCTGGGAGCCAGTAGTTCAAGTCATTGGTGCCATGATCCTGCATCACTAACAGTTTCAGAAAGCCATCATAAAATCTCTTTTTTTATGCTTGCTGAAAATAATCTACAAAATAGCAAACACCACCTCCTCCCCAAAACCCAACCCTTCTGCCATTTAAACAGATAAAGCAGAACTAGAATAAAACTAATATAAACCTCCACCTGAAATAACTGTATTTTCAACCAATTACTGTTGGATTTAATGTAAAAATTAAAAGCCCTCCCCTGGACAGCAACTATTGTGAAATTGACAGCTGAGGTGGAAATTAAAAGCACAGAGCAAGAAATCTCCAATAAATTTGTTGCAGCCACTACAGATAGGTTAATGGAAGGAAAACCTTCACCGTCAAATGGAAAATAAAGAAATATCATCTTTTTAATAAACTTTCATTTGTCCTTTTCCCCCTTTTTACTCTCAGATATAAACGCAGAATGTGCATGGAGGCAGCAAAAGAGTGGAGCTTCAAAAAAAATCACTCATCAAATAACTGTGCTACTTTTAACAATTTATTAAAGGTCCTAAAACAAAGATCAAAAGGGAATATATCTAAGCATTTATATTCAATTCCACATCGCCTGATGACTAATTTGTAAAGAGTGCACAAGTCTTCACAACTGAAGCCAAAATCATTTGAGGACACTTTGATATAATGCCACAAAGGATATGAGCAGGAAGGCAGCAGGAGTTACAAATGGCCAAGCTCCATTAAAAGTGCTAATAAAAGAATAATGGAATTTCCTTGTACTATGAATAAAAAGTGTTTGGCACAGGAGAATTTAGATACGGAGAGGAATATCAAAGCTTCTGGTTCATCAGTTGCTTCTCCTTATTAGATCTTAATTGACTTACTATTACATTTACCTTAAAATGCTTAGACTCAAAAAAGCAATGATTCCATTAAAAATCTTGTCACACTAATTTCCTTTTTTCTTCATGTTTCTCAGTTTTCACAGGCCCTTAGTATCTGCTTTACCAACCCTTATAAATAATTCAAGTCTATCTATAAAAAAAGCCAACTTCGAACTGATGGATTTAACTTGAAATGATATATAATTATTAAAATTATAGACTATACCTACTGTTTGACAATGGTTTTTTAAACTGTAAATTTTCAAGTTGCTGGTAACTATGAAACTCTCATAGCAACAACCTACTGGATAAATTTAATCCATTAATATTTACACAATGTATTTCTTTCTCATAGACATGTGTGTTACACACATACACGCATGTGTTCATACTCTCAGACAGGAGCACATACATACACACTTCTGCCACTTTTTTCCCCCAAATACAAAACCTAGCTAATTTTACCAACTCATAACTATTTGGTGCATGGCCAGGAAAAGGGAACAGAGTTCAGAACTTTCCTTTGAAACGTCTAAATGAAAAAATATTTCAAAGCTTTCTTTTTTGAAATGGATACTTGCAAAATCACACACACTTTGCAAAACTGAAGCAGCAAAGACAACGATCTCATGCTGCTGACAAATTGTTACAGGATTTAGTGCACTTGCTTAACATGCCCACAGATGCACCCAAGATAGGAGGAACTCCCCCAAAATATTTACAAACCTACTTAACTCTCCTTCAATCTCCTGCTTAATGTTCTCTTTTGCATAATGTCTACAAAACCCCCATGGCAAATGGTTATAGCACAGAAATGCTGTAATCTCTGCCTCCTGGTTCTCCAAAGTCTTCTTGTAACAGCTTTAATTTTGCATTTTATATTGCAATTTCTTTAGGGAAGGGATCTTTTTACCCTATAGTATGGAATATAATAAACAAGGGCTTTTTTTTTTTTTTTACAAATAATGATGATGTATATTCTTTCTTCTTTCTCCAGACAACCATCAGGCTTGTTAGCAAAGCAGCCTCTTCCAATGATGCTTCCAGAATCAATAGATAATTCATTAGTATCATGTATCTCAGGGCCTAATTGACACAACAAGCTAAGCAACATACTCAAGGGTAACACAGTTTCTAAATAGAGAGAAAAAAAGAGGGGAAACCGATACCACATATGGTCACTTTGCAGGATTTAGTGTCAGTCTATAAATTATACTTCCATGAGGTTAACGTGAGTCATTGGTTTCACAAATCAGAAAATGCAGCTTTTCAAGCTTGGCTTGAAGAAACAAAGAAACATTTATAAGATAGCATAATTTAAGTAACATGAATACCCTAGCACTTTCAATTTAATAATTTCCTCTCATTTTTGCATTAAACATGAAATATAGTTATCATGAATGTTTGGAATTATTCTTAACAGCAAACATAGGTAGTATTTTTTTTTTTTTCTTACCTTATGATCATATGGATTGTATGAATGAAACAGCTGGGACAGATCCTTTGTTCTCTGTTTTTTCTGAAAAGTAATATTAATAAATAAACTGTATTAGAAAAGGAAAAATAAAGAGACTGCTGATTTAAAAAGCTGTATGCAGGTACAAACACATTCTCTCCCCACTTTGTTAACAGAACTGCAGGTATGAAGAGCAGTGTATGCAGATTAAGTACATTAAATATCACAGGAAATAATTAACATATATATTAATGTTAAGAACATATCCGTAATAAATAATAAACACTAATCTATGGAACATCAGTGGAATGTGTAAACAATTCAGATTTGTTTTAATTTCTGCACAATAAATCATAAATAATGTTTTAGAATACAGATAACAAAACTTGAAGATTAGGCTCCAATCTTGCAAAGACTTGTCTACTATTCCAGTATGTACATGCAGTCTTGCTTTATAGCAGATTAGGTTTAAAGGAAGTCAGTTTAAAGAAGAATCATTTATTATTTTTCGATTTCTTTTGATGCTAATACTCTCATTGCCTTGATTGTGGAAAATTAATAGGTGGTATGCCATTTAATGCCAAGGCAAAGGGAAAAAACCTTCTGTTAAGAACAAAGTTCAAAGACAAAACCTGCTTAATCAGGCTTCTACTGAAATCAATGAAAGAGCTTTCAGTGATTTCAGCAGATGTTAAATAGAATCTCACGGCTGCATCCTATGGAGGAGGGGAAGGGAGAGGAGAAAAACACCCTTCATCTTTAATGCAGGGATGAGTCACTAGGAAGTTCAAAGTTTTACTATGTCAAAATTGACGTTGACTTATCTCATAGCTCGGGAAGGCAGACAGAGTACAACACGTTGGAAACTGTGTAAAGGGGAGACAACTACAAAAAACTTCTTGCTTGCAGTCTTGTACCATTGTCTTATTTTAGCCATGATTTCTGTGAAAGTAGTTTTCCAACTAAACTGGTAAGATAATGTTCCCAGCATGCTGGGAACTAAATAGACAGCTGTATGACTGCAGTACCTTCACTTCTGGGAACTATAGGACAGTTTAGTAATTCTTGATTATGCAAAAGGAACTATATATTTTCGTTCTTCACACAGTTTTTATTTTCAGTGAAAAGTTCAGATGCAGCAAATTAGTCATAAAAAATATAACTTTAGTTAGTAGTACAAATTTATGACAGCTAGATATTTCTCAGACATTAAAGGTATCAGATTAATATTACTACTTCTCTGAGGTCACTGTTCCTCTTCAAACAAGAATGGTAAATTTTGTTTCTAGTATGAGAAGGTTACTTCTGCCACAGACAATTCTACTACCATAAGTAATATCTAACAAGACTCATTTCTCTGAGTTTACTAAAGGGCTTTAAAAGTAACAGAAGTTATATTAAAAAAGACATTTCTGTTAGTATAGACTTTCTCAGCTATTGAACATGCCTTTGCCAAAGAAAAGATCTCCCGTTGTAGGGGAACCTTCACCCTCTAACGCCCATTAATACCTCTTTTATTTCCAATGGGAAAAACTCTACTCAAATCAGGTAGCACAACCCAAATTCCATCACCACCCTACAATGGCTTCTTTCCTAGTACCGATACACACAGTGAAAATGCTTAAAATGCTATAAAAAGGATTTAGAGAAATGTGACAATTAAGTGGAAAAGAAATATCAAAACTATTATAGAAAAAGTCTATTTCTTGCTTTTTCTTACCAAAGACTAATTCTCTTGAATCCCCTTCGAATGCACACAAAGTGCTTTTGAGTACTTTTTTTATTGCAATAGCTTTAATAATACTCAATATAACTATATGACAGAAACCTTCCCATCTTTCACCCTCAGACTCTAGCCAAAATGCTGTTTACACACTTAGCTAGACAAGGTGAGAATGAAGATGGTTTCCCTTGCACAACACATTGTGCAAGATAGTCTTCCACTTTTTATTATAGGAAATTATGGTTTCTTTCCTAACTTTCCACAGAAAGAAATGTTTTGCTTTTTGTACAAAACCGAAATGCTCCTTACTGGGGAAATACTGGAAAACATGATACGGACTAACATGGAGTGGAACTTCTGGAGATGTACATGAAAAAATGCTGCCTCCAGGATGCCCTGTATGCTTAGCTGATCTAAATCTAAACAGCATTTGACTACTTCGTAGAAACTCTAAATACACAGAGACAAAAATGTCTTATGTACAGAGTTAAGGCTGGTTAGTGACAAATTTGTGTCTTCCTAGAACACTGAGTTCTGCTTAACTTAGATCTCTAAAAACCAGAAATAGAGCATTTCAAAACACAAAGGCTAAGAAAAGTACAAAGAATTCAGGCTGTGATAGCTGTAACCCCTTCAAGTCCTACAGCAAGCATTAGCCACATGGTATTAATAGTAAGTTTTTTACATGAAGAGAAAGCACAGTTCCCAGCTCACCTGTACGCAGCGTAAAGCACAGAGTTAAGAAGGTCTCTCCATGTCTAGACATGACAGAGATAAATAAGGAGCTCAAAAGCTCCTTCTCCCTCACTGCTTCCAATGGACTATTTCAGTCCCTTAACTGCCTATTTACATGCATCTCCCCAGAATTTCTTTCTTTGCTGCAGCTTCATACTCCTATTCTTCTTCATCAGCTTAGTCCAACATCCCTTTCAGGGCCTTTCTTAACCAATATAAAAATATTTTTCTTCTCCCTTGTCTTTCTGCTCTTTCTCTTTAGTGCTCCATTTCCCCATCCCTTTGCTCCGTATAAATAAGGCTGTCAAAATCACATGATAAAAAGACACTCAAAAAACACTTCTGAACTCAGGCAAATGTACTGTCCCATCATACTGTTCCACATGCAGCAGCAGTGTCGCTTTCAAACATCCCCACAGATCTGCATAGGTCATATTTAAATTTATTATTTTTCTGAAAAAATTCAAGAGTCTTTCCAAAGTCACTATACAAATAAGTACAGGGTCTTTCTAAAAATGAAAAGACCTCATAGGAAAGAAGTTTCTCCTCAACATGATGAGGAACTTCTTTCCTGTGAGGGTGGCAGAGCCCTGGAAGAGGCTGTCCAGGGAGGTGGTGGAGTCTCCATCTCTGGAGACATGCAAAACCCGCCTGGACACATTCCTGTGCAACCTACTCTGCGTGGACCTGCTTTGGCAGGGGGTTGGACTAGATGATCTCCAGAGGTCCCTTCCAACCCCATACCATTCTGTGATGCTGTGAATCTGACAGCAGCATCAGACTTTTAACTTATTTCGGTACTTCTCTCAGGCTCACCATGCATTGATTCCAACCCCATACTATTCTGTGATTCTGTGAATCTGACAGCAGCATCAGACTTCTAACTTATTTCTGTACTTCTCTCAGGCTCACCATGCATTGACACAGCCTATGTTCATTGACCACAGAACATTTGCTTAAACCAAGTCGCCCAAGGTGGTGGGTTACTTGCAATACTCTTACTCAGCCTGGCTGCATGTAATTTTGGTGCAAGAGCATTTGACATGTCAAAAGCCAGAGAGGGTTTCCCTCAGTAAAGCAATACTCTTGTAAGTGAATTATTTCAAGCTTGTTACTAAAAGAGATGTAAGGAATTAGGTGCTTCTTAAAAGACACGTAGTATTCAACATGCAGTTATAAAAATAAGAACCAGAAACCAACATCAACTAACAATGTTTCTTACAACAACATACACAGACAATGTTAGTAGTGAGGAAACAACACGTTACCATAATTTCATTATTTTCTCCCCCTGGAAGCATACATGTTAGTAACACATACTTTGCTCTTAGTATTTCCTTTCTCTCTCCCTCATTTTCTGGGCCTCAGATTTTAGAGGTCTTAATTTTAGCTATTCAGAATTTTAAAGGGACACTGGTCATCTGAGATGCATATTATATACTTAAAGCACAGTAACTATAAAGGATCCTTTCAGACCACATCCAGATTTATAAACCAACAAAGACTTAGATTTAGTGACTGTCTTGGTGCTTTTACTCTTTTTTCTTGTGCATTGATTTTTAGCAATAATAAAACATTTTCTAATGCTTTAAGTGGACCACACTGTGGATTATTATCCAAGTTTAGAAATGAAATAACTATACCAAATACTAAACATCGTATACTCACACATGTCTATTGCACTTCTCTGGTGATCCTCATTTCATACTCAGGTGATAATTGCCTGTCTTTCAGATGATATTAATGTAGCCTAAAACTTGTTTGTTTTCCTTTCAAGCATGATATCATAGGTCTAAGATGTCTATTTTGAAGGAGGATTATAATATGGCCAAGATATTTTTATTACAGATTACTTAGGAGCAGCTTAAGTGGAATATTCTCAGTTTTTAATCTATGAATAAAAGGGACAAAATTACTCCCCAATATGAAGGTATCACTGATTTCCTTGAGACTCGACTTTCAGTTTTAAAAAGTCTATTTTCACCTTCAAGATTCTTAATAATTCTAGCCTAACCCTGTGACAGATCTGCTGATTCTACCAATTCCATTCAAGGTGTCAGCCTCAGTATGTCGTCAGCAAAGTTATCTTGTTTTTATTTTTCTGCTTCCATCACTTAAAATCCCTTCAGTATATGGTGCTGCCTTTTGTAACAAGGATCCATACCTGGTTCCATTCAAATATTATTCTTTTCCTTCACGATCACAGTAAATAGAAACAGGTGTCATGGCAACCAGATGAATGTCTTTATTTCAGTTCTCTTCCCTCACCTGCCATCTTCTCCTCCATTTCTCTTTTACATACTGCTGATTAGAATTAAAATACAATTTTCTTTTGCCGCAGGAACCTTATTTAATTTAGAGTTTATAGAGCATCTCACACGCTTGAGGATGCTAATGACCAATAGCAACATTGTTTTTCTTTCAAACAAGTCTGGAAAACCACATTACCTGTTTGTATAGTAGCTAATTGATTACATAATTTGAGTTAAAACCACTTTAAACTTTGTGAGCCAAGGCAGAATTTAACTACAACCTTGACAGACTGAGGGAGAAGGATGAAGCAGCTTTGCAAGTATTTTCAGAGTCTTCTTCCCTGGTATTACCA